GTATGGGCTGTTTTGTATATAATATAATTTATCGTATACCAATATTTCCATTTTTGAATTTAATGTCTGCATTTATATTAATTGGTATTGGTTGTGATGATATATTTGTATTTTTTGATATATGGAATCAAGAAAAACTAGAATGGTTAAAAAAATATCAAAATAAACTATTAACTGAAAGTAAATTTTATTTTATTTATTTTAATAAATTATTTATTTCATTAATTGTAGATCCAAATATGTTATTAAATTCTACAAATATTCATAATAATATACCTTCAAATCAACAAAAAAAGAATCCAAACAAATTAAAAAGATCATCTTCTCATCAATTATTTTTATTTAAACATTCTGAAGAAATTCGTAAAATATTATTAAGTGAAGAAGCATTAATAGAAATAATGTCAAATACATTAAAACATGCTGGTTCATCAATGTTTGTTACATCATTTACAACATCAGCTGCTTTTTTTACAAATATATTAACTAATATTTCATTTATTCAAGTATTTGGAATTTTTATTGGAACATGTGTTTTAATTTATTTTGCTATTACATTTACTGCAATTGCTGCTTTTGCTGTAAGTTAAATTATATTTAGAATATTTGACGAAAAAAAAACAATTACACTATCGTTTTTTTTTTATTTTTGTTTTCATATTGAAGATTATTTATGAAAAGTATATTCAAAATATGATATCTCATGTACTTTCAATGTGTTGTACTGATTTTGTCAATAAATCAGCAAATAGTGTACTAACGAAATTAGATTATCGTTTTTCATCAGTTTGTAGAGCTTGTCGACATTATATTTTTGGTCGTTTTATGCCATTAATAATTTTTAAATTACGTTATGTATTAGTATTTAATTTTCTTCTTATTGGTATTCTAGGTTAGATAATTTACTTTCTCAATTTTAAAATAGATTAAATATTGTTTTTTTATTAATGTATTATCTGTAGGTCTTATTGGTAGTTTTTACTATCCTAAATTAAACGTACCATCAACACAAAAAACTGCTTTATTTTTAAAAGATAATCCAAT